TTTTCCATCTTATGCTGAACTTGGCAGAAAAGGTGGTAAGTGGACATGGCAGAACTACCGCTATAGGGAACAGAAGAGAACAGGAGGCCAACTGGTCGTGTTCTCCAACTTAACCTGGTCGCCTTATGTGAGGTCGTAGTGGTGGCATGAAACTCAAGCTTCAGAAAGCGAGAGCACCGCCTTTCAGGCCACCTCCAGTACCTCATGAATGCAAAATAATGTTCAAAGTGGTACTTGACGACCACTTCTATGGCTCAGCTCCTATATTTCGGGTAATGGGGATATCGTGGTGTAGGCGATAAGTGCTACATAGGAATCGTGATATCCATGATCTCCAGGTGGACAATTTCAAACTCTTCTCGACAATGCGGATTTGCACGTAGCGTGCTCGTGGGACCACGCCTCTTTTTGGCGCGCCCAACTCTCGCACAAAATGGGGCAAAATTGTCCCTAAAAGCAGTTTTTCTATCAAAATTTTGACTATGACAATAAACAAAATATGACTGCAGTCTTAAGCTTTATGATCATGTATTGTTGGAATTAGAAGTGGAAGTTTGGAAAGAAATCTCGGATTTCAAAGGGATGGTGTTTGAAAACTCTAGAAGTTCAAATGTACAGTAGAATATAGTTCAAACTCCTCCTTGTGTCTTAAGACTGTGAAAAGACGTAGAGGTCCTGATCTGTAATTCACCTTAAGCTTAATAATGTAAAACACTAGTTAATACATCGCCGAGCGAAGTGCCATATCCTAAAATTTCATATAAATTAGCTAGTAACAAACATTTCTGCAAAATATGCTAAACATAACGGAGCTTGCTTATAATTACTGATATGTTGAAAATGTTTTAAATGGGTAAAGAAGAAAGGGTGGCACCCACCATTGGGTGCCATTGTCCCACGCGACGGTCATAGTGGCACCCACCGGTGGGTGCCATTGTCGCCAAAGGGTTAAGTCGCTCCCAAAGAGGATGCGTGGAAAAATGTTCTTTCAGTAAAATAAGCACCCTTCTAGAGATCTTCAAAGAGAATCGTGCGATAGCTGAGACAAATCGCTTTTCTTACTGGTGAACTCTATCAATTTGACCCTTCACTCCTCGGTGCCCATATGTGTTACAACCGCATGCCACATGTGTGCCACCGAGATTAAATCACTAGTTGGTAGAGTGCTGTTTAGATCCGCGTTATAATTGCATGCACCTTGCAGCTCTCGAAATCGAACTGTTATGAGGCTAAAGCTGGAAAAATAAAACTTTGTCATCAAAAAACGCACATGCTATAATACTAAACTCACAGGACTAAAAACTCATTACAAGTGGTATGAGATCTATGATAACTATGAGACCCGAAATGGCACAACACGATTGTAAAATTTGAACTTTGAGTGGTGGAAAATCTAAACACTACGAGGAGTCAGTTAGGAGATTCTCGATATCGTCATGGAGTGAAAACGTGGACGTCTGCATGTCAACCATTTCGCAACGTCTGAATTTTGAGTCATTTCGAGACCTGGCTCCGCTGAAACGGTGCATCTAATAGATTCGTGCCGATACAGAAGGTTATTTGAATCAAAATCTTGTTTATTTGTGACTCCAAGCTTTGAAAGTTAGTCTACAGGTCCTGTATGTCACTCTTTTAGCTATATAGGCCAATATCTAGAATCATAGTCCAGATGAGAAAGCCGAAGAGCGCATTTGGTGTTTACTTATGCCGACGCCCACCAGGGCGGTCTGGCAGACGTTGATAAAGCTCTGGTTTGTACGGGAAGGCATGGGCACCGAAGTTCCATACCGGGCCGCATCGGCATTCTAATTAAACACTGGATTCTAGATGAAAGTAGAATACGTGGCAGATCCCTCATTTAAATCGTCCCTTGGAATAAGGTTTTGAGGGTGTGCGTTGTTGAGATAGCGCTGTTTGGGCGGTTAGAAAGCATGCACGAATGGAGCTCAGGCTTCCGCGAATCATTGGTGCCCGCGCTTAGCCTGTCTCTTTCCTCTTCCATCTCGACATCTAGTTTTCTTTTCGCGGACTCGTCTTGCTCAAGAAGAAATCCCTATTTTATACTTGGTGCAACCAACGGTTTCTTATCCATATTTTTCCACTTATGGTGATCCACATGGCACTCCTTCCAAGTCCACTGCTGAGCGCAGGAAACTAACATCAGCAGCAATGGTGGAAGGCTTGAATTTCGAGTGAGGACTCTCTGAGAGACAAACGCGGAGAGGAAGGGGTCACGCCGGTCTCAAAACTTATCTAACATATTCTTGGTTAATGACAACCGTTCCGCTAAAGGCTACGAGCCCTTCCATCGCTTTCAAAACCCATGTGACATACCAGCATCATTTCCGGGGGAAGTGAAAACTACGTAGTTTCAAGAGCGCGATAACTATGCAGGACGATAGGCAGAAACAATGCCACACGTGATTTCGTTTATGGACGTCCGATAAGAAGCTCATGAGATTGATTACTAGCTACTTAGCACTTTTTAAATCTGATTGTAAATCACCTGAACCGATAAGCTAATATCATTTACAATCTATTTCGAGCTCACTTACCGGTAATTAATGAAAGTGATACCGACAAATGCGATTAGTGAAATAACCGCTCCTGCTGTCAACAAGACATTCAGGCGATCTCTGTCAAACTGGAACGATAGCACTGAAAATTTGAAATTGTATGGAAGGATCTTTAAAACAAAATGTGATAGAAGACGCTGTGAATCAAACTCTTGTTCTAAGCGGTGTTACATTTCCGCTTGCCATCCACTCAAAGACATCCTACACACTCTCAGGATGAAAATTGTGTTTAGAGGCACTCCTCGATATCTAATTCTTGGCACTAGGAAGCACTCCGCTGAGCTCTCTAACGGTAGGGATAAGACAACCGTAATCGTTCGTCTGGAGTAAACCTTCAATAGAGAACGGTGAGTGTCCTACATCCCACGGGTCCTGCAAAAATCCTACCAAATTTTTTCCACCTTTTCATCCACCCAGGAGCTCCTCCATATTTCGACCTAAGCAACAATGTCAATCTCGTTAGCTCAGGACACAACCCTGGACCATTGCAGGCCGATTGCGTACACCCCAGGATTTCTTCTACAACACCTATACTTAATAGGTGTATCATTGAAATGAGTCGATATGTGTAGAGAGTGCTCATTTTCTTAGCTTCAGTATTAAAATGCCCCACCCCCCCCCCTCCCACCCTCCTCCCTCAACTCCATTTCCGACCACTCTCTGCACGACGAAATTCGCCTCTATAACCTTCAACGATTTCAATTTCCATCAAAATTCATCGAGGCATTGATCAAGAGGCTTTTCAGCGATGACTTAAAACACACCTCCAGCCAATGTTTCTGGGAGAAACACAGAGAATTAGGCAGATCACAATGCAGTTGACGAAAGTGACTCACGATTAGTTTCCCTCGTTTTCCTTAGCAAAGCAGTTGCGGGTGGAGCAATGCACCGCAGTCCGCAGCAGGAGAACGATTCTGGACACGAAAAATAGATGGTCGATACCTAGAAAAACAGTTTTTGGTTGTTCATGAATTCCTACACGTTTTTTATGTACTGAATCCCCCAATAGTAGAAATAATATCGAAGGCCAAAAGTGTTGTGCAAAATAATTTTACTAGGAAACTAATGGTGAGGGTACTCGGCTTTATGTATGATCAAATCCCTCAGCTGCTGTCAGAAACAAAAACTTAGGGTTTAACTACTTTGGAGTTTAGACGGAGGAGAAACGATCCT